ACCCCCCCCAGCTGCCCTAATCTGTCCATGAAAACGAGAGCTAACATGTGTATCTCATATAATGACGATCGCTAAAGAACCTGAACCTTACTGAGATGCTCCGTAACCTTGCAGTCTATAAAGGGGCGCTCCTCAACACCATCAAACAAATACACACACACACACACACACTCACAGACACACACTCACACACACACACAGACACACACACACAGTGACCCTCAGCAGACGGTCTGGCTGTTCCTGAAGCTCTGTGATTGGATAATCGTGCATCTTCCCGCGGATGGCCCAGCGTGTGGGCAGGGGCTTCATCACATACTTTCCCATACGCCGAAACGATCCCAGGGACACCACCCAGTTCCCTGAACACCATCGGCCCCCGTACATCAGCGGGGGGGGGGCAAGCTGGGGGAGTCACATGCTACGCTCGTGCCCTGGGTCACTGTGGGAGGAGATCTGGACCTGAGCTGTGTTCCTGTGGGTTGCTGTGAAAGCAGTTCAGGGTTCAGACCCACAACAGGGTCCCTTCAAAAGCATGGAGAGGAAAAAGCTCAGTATTATTGTATTATAGGATGCTGCCAGTAGGGGGCTCCACTCCGAGGGCTTAAATGTGTGTATGATGCACGCCCATACCCTATACTGCCCCCCCTTCTCCTGCACCCACCTCTTCTTGTTGCCATCGGCGTCGCGGTGCCGCCAGTCCAGCCGGCTCTTGCGATAAAGCAGGTTCATGTCGCCGTGGGGACCGCTCCCCTCTCGGCCAATTACAGTGCAGTGCAGCTTTTTGCCCCTCCTCTCGATATCACGCAGGAAGCGCTCCACCGCCACATCCTGGGCGGAGCCAGAGCTCATGGTATTGTGGCCAATCAGATAAGAGCTGGTGGGAGGGGCCTCAGGGAATGGCCCGTCCGTTTCGGGAACCTGGAAGTGAAGTAGGTGAACATCAGTGCTAGGGAGACACAGCATATCTCAGTGTCACACAAGCACAGCTCTGCAGAGTAAGACTAATTCCCATATCTAAGGGTTAAACTATTAATAAAATCAGGCTTATACAGCTTTTCTGTAACAGTGATACTGACCCAGCAAGGTGTGAACCCACAAACCTCTCCCGTTTGACCCCACATCACTCTTCAGCCACATGGGTCCCCAAATCTGTCACCCATCATAGATAAAACATGCAGAATTTGCACTACATTTGCACATCTGGCAGCAAAACGAGAATTTAAATACCAAAAAACAGAGGAGCGAGGGTTGTCTTTTGTCCTCTGGGCCCAGGGGGGGGCGCCAGTGCAGGCAAGCAGGATGAAGGAGTGTTAACGTATGGAAGCAAAGCGTGCTCCCCCTCACCCCTCCCACAAAGACCCCCCCCCCCCCTCCCCACCCCCAGGGAAATTAGACAAACGCAACGTCTGTCCTTCACGGGCCATTTTGGCGCAGGGAGCGTTTGAATAGCAGGAGTGGCCATCAGATAAAGGTGTGTTTGTCTGTGTGTCACGGGGTGGGGGGCTCACGGCACAAGATCACCGCAGTTCTCTAGGCTGCGGGGGCGACCGGGAAGCCCCCCCCTCGTTAGCGGTCGTGCGCATGCGCAGGCAGAAGCCAGGGGTTGTCGAGCATTAAAAAGCAGCAGCCGTCCAAGCAGCCATTAGCCTGTGTGATTAATCAAAACAAAAACTGGTGGAGCTGAGCGCTGGGGGGGGGGGCGCTAATTGGCAAAATAGCAGGTTCCCTTCCCGAGCTGCCGGGCGGCTCACACTGTCACCCACTCCCCAAGATCAGAAACAAAATAAGAGGATAAATCACGCTAGCAGACAGTGTCTCTGTGGGCCAGTCCCCTCACCCCCACCACTCTACTGCTCGTGGACCTTCATCAAAACCGTAAAAAAAATTGTGGGATTCCAGACATTTCAACCTATAGCCTTCAAGCTCCTTACACCTTAACCACCCTGCCCCCTGCTGGTGGCTCACCGAATGGTCCAGTATTTAAAAAAAAAAAAACACAATCACGAGCTTCTTAGTGAGAGGAAGGCCCTGCTGGTCTACATTCACAAAACAGCCCCCCCCCCCTCAAAAAGCAGCATCCCTGATCCTTAACCCCAACTCCCTCGCCCACCCAGCACATCATAACTGGATTGAAATCAACCTGAGTAAGTGAGTAATCAGATCAAATTTCCCTCCCCCGAGCTCCTCATCCAGGGTCCGCCACGCGGGTGCAGCAAATAAATTCACTGAGAAAACCCCAGGCATATCTTAGTTGGCCGTCCTCCGATTAAAATATTTGGATACTCACACACATACACAAACATACTGTGAACACCACGCAGTAAATTTAGAGAATCGGCCCACACCTTTTCTTAATATATGTGCTTTTTGTGAGTCTTCACACTGGTGGACAGGTAATTATATCAGGGAGTTTCTCTGTCACCTGATCCTAATGATACAAGATCTACACACTCGCTCAGATCTGTAGCCTGGGCTTTTAATAACACCGACTTTCTGCTCCTCCAGTCGATTAGCGCCTCCTCCCATGTTTGAAAGTGTGAAGGGACACCGGAAGAAATATAATATATATATATATATATATAAAGCACCAAAAACCAAAAGCAGGTGAAGAGGGATTCTGGGTAATAGCTCATTATTTTGTCATGATTCGCTGTGTTCCTTCCTACCAGCCGCCGCATTGAACTCGGTTATCTACACTGTCAGCCGCCAGTTGCAGGGTCACACATCGCGCTCAAGGACACAGCACCGGCGCCCCCACCGGGATCGGAACGGCACTGTCTCCCATGGCCGACCATTGGAGGTATTGGCCACCACCCCACTGCAGACAGGACCCCACAAAACTGTGCTTAAACGTGCCCAAAGTTGTGTTGACGGTCACCAGAATGGCACATGATTACACTCGAGGAGGAGAATAGATCACAAAACCTGGCACTGAACCCTACCCAAAGGGGTAGAAGCTGACCCTGAGTCAGGACAAGGCAGGAGGGACTCCCTCAGCAGGACTGCAGTGGGTAGCATTACAATTTCCTCACTGTGACATTGAGCATTTCCTGCCTGACGGACATCAGATCTGTCCTGAACTGACCAATAGCGCAGCTGGAGGCAGCTCTTGCCCCTCCCTCTTCTGGTCGCTGGAGGTACAGCTGCCCTGATGCGCCCCTTACTCCCTGCCCCACATTCTGCCGTCGTCATGGCAGCACTTTTGCAGCACTGCTGTTGGGGGGGGGGCGGAGCAATGACCAGAGTAGCATCCAGACCTCGAAGGAAGAGGAGAGGAGGGCAGATAGACAGATGAGAGGAGAAGGGAACAGCAATGTGACAGAGCTGTGGGGAGAGAGGGAGAGACAGTGGAGGAAGGAGGTGAAGATGGGGGAGGGAGGCGAAGGCCGCCTCTGCGCGTGTGAGCACGGTCTCCTAGCAACGCCGCCGGCAGCCCCCCCCCCACCCTCCATCGCTCCCTCTCTCTCCCCCTGTCCCTCTCTCTCATTCTCACTCTCGCTCTCCCCCAGTCTCTCTCTTGCTCTCTCTCCCTCTCTCTCTCCCTCCGTCTCGGTGCCACCGCGTGAAGCCGCCAGCGAGGGGGTGAGAATAACGCTGTGAGAGTGGTGCGGTGCTTCAGCACGCAGGAAACAGCGGATGGAGATGAAGCACAGCCTGAACAGACAGAGAGAGAGAGAGAGAGAGAGCTAGAGAGAGAGCGAGAGAGAGAGAGGAAGCAGAGGGCGGAGGGAATGAAACCACACATTCCCCACCAGGTGTTCCCTGAGAAACCCAACAGTTCCCCCTAGGTCTCTGAGATGCACATGGCACTGTCACGCACTGTACATACATAACCCACACACACATATGCATTCTCTCAAAGCCTTTCCCACAGGGGCGTAACGGGGCCAGACATGTGGTGAGACGCTCTGGGGAGACAGCACCCCCCTGGCATCCTCCCCCCCAAGGCTGCTGGCAGGAGATCATCCAGAAGAACGTGGCCGGTAGCCCTTCCCGGAACGCGGAGCACAGTGGACGCTGGCTCCTCAGAGGTGAGCCGGAGACACGGGAGAGAGGCGGCAGCCTCAGATATCGCGAGAGGCTTGGAAATGCGGGTGAGAGGACAGGGGCTGGAAATATGGACTGAGAAACACAGTCCTGCTAAAGGCTATGAGAGAAAATGCGCGTAACGGCTGTGAACACCTGGATACATACAGGGGAGAGAGAGCCGGGCTTCACAGCGAGAGCCTTCTCACAATGCACTACCATGCAGCCGCATCACGTTCTTCTTGGATATCAGGATGATGGCCTGACATGTAGCAGACATGTGCGTGCATGGTGGAAACACCAGGCACATTACAACACGCCAAGAGCATGGAATCCCCAGAAGGTCACGCGTGTCCATCCAACATGTTGGAAGATAACAGGAGCCTTTTCCCTTCCTTCTCCTGCCTCCCTTTTTCCACACCCTCCCCTCTTTTCCCTCCCTCACTCCTTCGCCTTGCTTTTCCTTTCCCTCCCTTCTTACATCTCTCTTTTTCCATACCCCCAAGCGAGTGCAGTCTGCGAGCCGGCGTACTCCATGACCTCCCTCTCACTCTGCCTCCCTCCCCTCCCCACCTGCCCTTGGTTCCAGCATCCTCCGCTGGAATCTGCAGTAACCAAGGTGACACGCTTACACCCGGCGACCGGCTGTCAAACACAGACAGAAACACACACAAGCTGGGTCACCCCCCCCCCACCAACGCCATGCCAATGCCTCTGACTGCAGTGTAGCATCTCAGCCTGCCTCACCCCGCATGGCTCGCCCTCAATGCCCCCTGCCAACTCAGTACCCTCCCCCATGGACCAGTGACAGACAGTCTCACATACACGCACATGCGCACACACGTGCACACACAAGCATGCGCACTCTGGAACGTGGTGTGGCAGATCCCAAAGTCTCCACTGCATCACCCTGCTGTGCATCTCTGCAGCATGACTGGCCGCTGTGCTGGAAACAAAGAGGCACTGAACAGAGTGGAGTGAGAAAGAGTGAAGCTGAGTGAGAGAGTGAGGCAGAGTAAAGCAGTGAGAGAATGAGGAAGACAGAGAAGCAGAGAGAGTGTGAAGCAGAGTGAGTGTGGAGCACACAGAGAGAGGCAGAGTTAAGCAGAGAGAGAAAGTGAGGCAGAGAGTAAAGCAGAGTGAGAGAGTGAGACAGAGAGGGAGTGAGGCAGAGTGAAGCAGAGAGAGAATGTAGCAGTGGGGGCAGAGTGAGAGGGTGAAGCAGACTGAAAAAGTGAGTTAGAGAAAATCAGAGTGAGAGTGTGAAACAGACTAACAGTGTGAAGCAGAGTGAGGCAGAGTGAAGCAAAGAGAGAAAGCGAAGCAGAGAGTAAAGCAGAGGGAGACAGTGAAGCAGAGAGACAGAGTGAGAGTGAGAGAATGTAGCAGTGGGGGAGAGTGAAGCCGAGTGAGAGAGTGAGGCAGAGTGAGAGAGTGAAGCCGAGTGAAAGAACGTAGCAGTGGGGGCAGAGCAAGAGATTGAAGCAGAAAATTAAAAAAGTGAGTCAGAGTTGAAGCAGAGTGAGAGAGTGAGGCAGAGAGGTGACGGTGACAGCGTAGCGCAGACCGGTGGCATACAGCAGAGTGACAGTGTAGCACAGCAGCTGGTGACACAGCCAGCTCTGCCTGCTTCCTCTCACCTGCTCCCTTTGCAGGCTGCGTAAGATTTCCATATGAAAGCTGCCAGCTGCAGCCGCTCTCCCTCCTCACCTGCAGACAGAGCAGCTTTTCATCGCAGCAAACGCTGCTAAGATACAGGCTGGAAAGGAAACCCGTGCCGGAGACAGAACGACAAGCCCGACACGCGGAAGCGCTCGCGGGGCGCACATGCCGGCAGCCATCCACAACGAGCACCTGCCTCTCCCCGTGCAGTGAGCTCGCAAGCGCCATCG